TTTTTTTTTTTTTTTTTTTTTTTTGCATTCGTGTTTCGTGTTTTATACTTTTATTTATTAACATCATTAACGTCATTGTTACGAACCTTTCACTAACTTCTATACTATTTTTTTCTTTTTTTTTTTTTATCGAGGAACCGCGGATTTTTACACTTGGATTTTATCATCTTTTGAACTAATAGTTGTCATATATACTTTGTTTAAAATTTAAATCTATATCAAAAGAAAAATTTTTTTTTTATCAAGCCGTGATTATCAATTGCCTTTTGATGTAAATAGGTCCTAGATTATATTTTTACTGCAATTTACAAAAAAAAAAAAAACAATTGGATAAATGACTATTAAGAGAAACAACAACTAATCGTTTATTATATGAAAAATATGATTTTCCATTGCGAGTAAGTAGTGCAGTATCAATTTTAAACGATAAGAACGACGACAGCGACACAGACACAGACGAAAATCAAAGATGGAAAAGTACTGAGATAAAACGGTTTTACTGCGATATTTCTAAAGCGCACTTAAAAGTTCATTGTCTAGGATTAAAATTTTAGTTTTTTCAGATTAGACGCAATTAACACTTAAAGGTTGATCACGCTCAATGTTACAAGTAAAAAAACTTGGAAATTTAAAAAGAAAAAAAGATTGTTTTTTTTTCTACATTAATTGTCCAATCCTTTCATTGGGTTTCAATTCCAAGTAATTATTTTTGGAGCCCCATGTATCAGTTAGAAAAAAAAAAAAAAACAAAAAAACAAAAAAAAAACTGATTTTAGTATTCCAGCTTCTCATTTCTGGCGGAAAAAAAAAAGTAGACAAGAAATCATTTCACGTTCCGCAGTGGAAACGGAAGTAACAGTTAGAGGTTGACTATAAATTAATTACGCTCTAAAAGCAATTCAAAATCAAACATGTTTTGTTCAGGTGTTTTATAAATAATCTTAAAAACTATCCTGTGACTGCATTAAAAATTAAAGGTATCCGTAGGCTGTCGCTGAAATGGAGTGTTTATCTAATTTATTCCTTTATTTTAAAAAAGCGCCGATAAATGACATTTTCGACTGGAGTTCTGTCTTTGTACTACTTGACGCCTTGTATGCAACTAGTAAATTAAACATAATAGCTAGCGCTTGGGTAGACAGAGGTCTAAAGAATATAGTGAACTGTGCATCGACTTACTGCTGAAGAATTACCATTACATTTTTGGCAATATCTGCAGTATAAGATCTAATGGCATCATTGTGGAGACTGATGGTAGAATAATGACAGTTTATCCAGTTATCCTGAGGATGTTGAAAATAAGACTTTGCCTTGCTTGCATTATTTATAGATAAAGTGCCATAGTAAATTCTTTTGTACCCCATTAAACATTAAGTTGACCATCCTCAAGTAATAGTTGGGTTGTGTAATTTCTTAA